CCTGCCTCTCACATTTCTGTAAACCTTGCCTTTGATTTGGTGAGCTTGTGGTTCAAGTTCTTGTAAAGACTGTAGCCTTGGTCCCTGAAGACCAGTGACCTCCACACCACACCCCACAGAGGCACCGAGGGCAGACTGGGTGACCGCTGTCACTCACACTGGACAGGTTAATCTAGCCTCCTGGAGCCTCATCCCACTTACCGAGCATGTGGCCTGGGGCTCCTCAGATCTGCAAACCATTTAAATTGACAGCACTACCTCAGTCCTCTAGGGTTTTCTTGGTGGCTCAGATGGTAAAGAATCTGCCTGCAACATAGGAGACCTGGCTTCAATCCCTGGGTTGGGAAGATCCCCTGGAGAAGGGAATGGCAACCCACTCCAGTATTCTTGCCTGGAGAATCCCATGGACAGAGAAGCTTGGTGGACTACAGTCCATGGGGTCCCAAAGAGTCAGACAGGACTGAGTGACTAACACACACAATCCTCTAAAAGAGCTGCATGGACAGGAGATAAGACAGGCTTTGGTCTCAGCCCTGGTCTGTATTCCAATTCAGTCTCTCGCTGACTTAACCCCTCTGAGTGCCAGTTTACCCTTCTGTGAAACGGGATGCAGGGTTCTTGTACGGGCACAGCCTGGCCATCACAGGCGCTCATTCATCAGCCCCTCCTTTACTGTGATGCAGACCATACCCTTGCCAGGCTACGGCAGCCAGGCCTGCTCCTTAGAATCATGGTCTCTGACATCCACCACCCAGCAGAGAAACACCTCATCCAATAAGTGCTCTTCCAGGGCTAAAGGCACCAAAACCCACTTGGGGATAACAAAGCAGAGTGTTGTCTCATGGGCCAGAAATGCCTTTCCAGCTGCCTCCACCGAAAGGTAGACAGGTGAAGCAGGTAGGTGAGAACAGGAAAGGAAAGCATCTGTACTTTCCAGACAGACCCAGTAGACACAGCTCGAACCTTTCTAGAACTCGGCACTTAACAGACTTAAGTGATACCCTCTCACTCCCATTCACAAACCTACCTGCATCCTAGAGTGGACCCCAGACTCCCAGCCCACCCTCATCTCCTCTTTTCTCTTCCTTCCTCCCTTCCCTTCCTTTCTTCTTCTCTTTCCCTTTTTAAAAACATCACTGGATGAGCAGCACCATAAAGCCACATTCCTGGGAAGCTCCTCCAAGTGGACTCTTTTGGCACCAACGATAGGCAGCCCTTGGGGCATGGGAGGGGCCAGGAACTGGGATGCAGGGCCACGCCCAGCATCCAGTGAGGAAAACAAATGAGGGCAATGGGTTAGTACTGATGGTTAGTCAGGTAAATGGGACTACAATCGCCCCCATGGTCAGTTGAGAGAATAGAGTCAGATGAACTTGCCAGTGGTCACATAGCTAGGAAGTGGTGAGGGCTCGGACCCAGACAGTCCTGGTTCGAGTGCAGACCCATGGAACCACTTTGGACAAAACCGTGTTTTAAAGGGCATCTGGGTACCTGGCCACATGTCCATGATGAAGGCAGGATAAGTGTTGGAGTGTCCATTATTTCCAGCTGAGGTTTAGAAACAAAGTGAAGTGTCTTGCCCAGAAGTTAGAGTTGGGGGCAGAGCGTGGTCTGGGGTCTTGGATTTCCAGTTTTCTGTTTGGTGCACCCTGCCCACCCCAGGTCAGGCATGACCTAGGCAGGGGCCTGGGTATCAAAGAGGAGGCATCAGCATTAGAGGTGCTGGTGCAGATAAGTGCTGAGCCTGTGGGCCAGACAAGGGGGGGAATGAGCACTGGGTACAGGGTACCTGCCACAGGGAATGCATTGGGCATCACCACAGACTCTCCAGGAACCACTAAAAACTGCAGAAAACACATGCACTGAGGACCTGCTACAAGCCAGGTACTTTGACTTACAATATGGGGACATATTTAACCCTTCCGACAGCCCTGAGAGGCTTCTCACTTTAGATATGAGAAAGTATCTGCAAGACCAGGCCAAAGCGACCCAGCTAGCAGGTGGTAGAACCAGGATTCCAGCATCTGCTGGGCACCAGAAGCCTACGAGTCACTCCTCCATCCCAAGCTGCAGACCCTGGGTACCCTTTAACTTGTAGCTGAGGGCAGGAACTGCTTTCAGTGGAGTGCAAAGCGTCAGCGGGCTGGAGTCTCACGTGGTAGAGGGCACAGCCGACTTCACTGCTCTCCTTTGAGGTCAAGTCCACAGCAGCCTGAAGCGGAGTTCCTCCTCTAAGGCCAGTGCTGCCTTTGCCCTTCCTGTGTGGCCAGATCCTGGGCGGGAGCGGAGGGTGTGAGCTGTGCCCTTTGAGTCACCCTGCCCGTGTGGGCTGGGGAGTGGGCATGACCGGGTGTGCTTGGAGGCTCACTGGCACAGCAGGTGGCCTGGACTTGTCATCCCTCTTTACAGATGAGGAAACTGACTCAAGGGTGGCTTCATGACTCACACAGCCTGGGGGGGCTGGGTGCAAGCTTCCCGACCCCCAGCTGCACTGTGCCCTACCACCCTGGGTCCAAAGATGGGTCCAGCAGCAGCCATGCTGGGGTGACCTCAGCAGCTGGGCTGGTGTGGGGCAGATGTGGACATGGGACCAGGAGGGCAGGGGCTGGAGATTGACATGGACTGGACAGAGCAGACTGGAAGCAGCCCAAGAGCCCACGCCCAACAAGGCGTGGTCGGAGCAGTGAGCCTGATGTGGCCTCGGGTCTGGACCCACAGGTGCTCAGTCCAGCAGGGGTTCTGGTCAGCTGCACTAGTCATATCAACTAGGCAGGGTTCTGGGCAACAGCTACTCAGAACAACACTTAGTAATCTAAGAGTAAGAAAGAGAGGCAACAGAACCAAGGAGAAAGTGGGAGTTCAACATGGAAGCAATGAAGGCAGGCTGGGTGAGGACCTCTGAGTTTAGGAAGAACTGGGTTTCTTGTCTTGGGCACTTAGTAGCCGAGTGATCTTGGGTAAGTCACTTAACCTCTCTGAGCCTCACTGTGTTCATCTACAGATGGGGGAATAATGTAGGTAAAGCTGTGACACAGGGCGCAATGAGCCAGAAGTCTGGGCAGCTGATGGGAAGGCTGACCAAGACCCTGGGTCTCCTTTGAGCTTCAAGGAGAGGTCTGTGGCTAGTCCCTGCCTCCACCGGCTAGTGGGCTGAAATTCCTAGTGGATCCTGCTGAGGTTAAAGTTGGATTGGAAACTGGGCTGACCCCAGCTGACAGGTGGAGGGCAGCAGCTGACTTGAGCCCCAGGCATAACCAGCACTGACCAAGTTGCCACCAAGGAAGTGATGCTGGTAAAGTGGGAACTAGATATTTTCACATGGGATTAAGATGAGCATGGGCTTAATAGGCACATGAAAAGATGCTCAACATCGCTAATAGAGAAATGAAAATGAAAACTACACTGAGGTACTGCCTCACACCAGTCAAAATGGTCATTATTAAAAAGTCTACAAATAATAAGCAATGGAGAGGGTGTAGAGAAAAGAGAATGTGCCTACACTGCTGGTAGGAATGTAAGCTGGTGCAGTCACTGTGGAAAACACTATAGGAGTTCCTCAGAAAACTAAAAGGAGAATTACCATATGATCCAGCATCCCACTCCTGGGCATACATCCAGACAAAACTATAAGCTGAAAAGAAACACACACCCTTATGTTCACAGCAGCACTATTCACAATAGCCAAGATATGGAGACAACCTAAATGTCCATCAGCAGATGAATGGATAAAGAGAATGTGGTGTACATATATGATGGAAAACTACTCAGCCATAAAAAAGAATGAAATAATGCCATTTATAGCAACATGAATGCAACTAGAGATAATCATACAAAGTGAAGTAAGTCAGAAAGAGAAAGAGAAATATATTACTTACATGTGGAATCTAAAATGTGACACAAATGAGCCTATCTACAAAACAGAAACACAGAACATAGACACAGAGAACAGATTTGTGGTTGCCAAGGGGGAAGCAGTTGGGGATGGAACGGAGTGGGAAGTTGCGATTAGCAGATCTAAGCTTTTATGAGAATGGGTGAACAACAAGGTCCTACTGTGTAGTACAGAGAACTATATTCAATACCCTATGATAGTCGAGGACAAACCAAGCCCATGGGCCACAGCTATTGAGCCTGTGCTCTAAAACCCGGGAACCACAACTACTGAACCTACGTGCCCCAACTACTGAAGCCCCATGCCCGGGAGCCCATGTTCCACAACAGGAGAAGCCACTGTAGTGAGAAGCTCTGCACCACGACCAGAGAGCAGCCCCCTGCTCACCGCAACTAGAGAAAACCCTGCACAGCAGCAAAGACCCGGCATGGTCAAAAATACATAAATAATTTACAAAAATATTCTATGATAAACCATGATGGAAAAGAATATTATAAAAATATACATGTACAACTGAATCACTTTGCTGCACAGCAGCCATTAACACAACATTGTAAATCAACTATGACACAGTTTTTTAAAAAAGATGAACATCTTTTATTTAAATTTAACCTCCAGTGGAATAAAATCTTCTTTCAACTGACTTTTGGCCTTCCCTCTATTAGTTGGTGTTCTCTGTTGAAGCATTCCACAGTCTCAGAAGCTGAGGTCCTGCAGTGATCCCTCCACCCCACCCTGTGGCATGTCCAAGCTAATTAGAAGGCCCCAAATCTCCTTGGCAGCACTGGGCCGAAGACAGCAGAATGGGGGTCTTTGTTAATAAAATCCACCCTTGATTCCAGCCTCCTCATGTCCTCATGGGTGCAGGAACTGGTCACCCACTAGTTAAACAGTCAGTCGTTTGACTGCCTCTGGCTTTCTTTTTTGAATGAAAGGAGGAAAATGACAATGTCTGGAAATACACAAGGGCATGTGCTAAAAACTGCCACTTGGGATTGAATGAGAGAACTATTAGACAAAGGCAACGTCTCAGGTTTCCCTCTCCACCTCTGTCACTGAAAAATTCCCTTCTCTTTAGCAAGTTTTGTTCACACCCAGAACATGTGAGCTAGTTCCACAAGCCTGCTGGGGTCACATGAGACTTGAGACCCAGAGCAGCCAAGCCCCATAAGCGGCTGTAACAGGAACCTGGGGACAAGGGTGCCTGAACTCCACGGTCTGCCCCTCTACTTGGAGATGTGTTTTTATTTTCCTTCCTCCCTTCCTGAGAAGAAACGATCCTTTGCAAAATGCCCACTAAAGTGAGCAACAAAGAAGAGTGGGCAAAAGCCTGAATACTCTTCCCACCAGCCAAGCAGCCGGTCCTGCCTCTAGCAGCGGCGCTGGCGCTGGCACTGATAGAGTCCATCATCTCAGTTCCCACAGTGCTGCACCGACACGGCTGGCCACCCTCCTGCCCCTCTCACTTCACACCAATCTCCAATCATCTCACTAGCAGAGGAAAGCTACCCCTCTTCAACAGAGCACGCGAAACCCTCACTCCTCTGTTACCTCCAGGTGGGCCCCACCTCTGAGCTCAGAGACTGCCGTTTTACCTTCACACAGACATGCTGCCCATTTATAAGATACCTGAGGTTGAGAGGAGTCACCTGCCAGACAGATGCCCCAAATGATCAACAGCACTGAAGGCAGTGAAAAAAACCAAGGGGGAGATTTCAGCTTCTGGTTAGGGCAGGGGAGATGGGGTAATTTATTTTTAAAATTAAAAAAAAAAATTCTTTTTTTCAAGTATCAGGTTTCAGAAAACCTTTCAAGGGTGTCCTTTTCAATCTCTGGTGAAAGAAAAGGAGTGTGCACTAGCCTGAGTCGGTGGGGAACATAATCTGCTGCCATTGGGTGGATTACTGGCTGCTTCCTGGTTTAATCAGCTGTCTGCAGGACATCTCAGATCAGGCACTCTGCAGAGCAGGGGCTCCTTGATTTATGTCTCTCAGGGTTGCCACTTCTTGGAGGCAAGCTCTGTGTTTCCAGGACGATTCTTGAGAAAGAATTCCTGCTTGATCTAGTCCCTTTCTCCGATTCCCACATCAGCCTGCTCTCCCAAGAAACAGCCTTGTGGGAGCCTTCAAGGAACCTGAAAAAGTACAAATTATTACTCATGTCAGGTGATCACAAGCATGTAGGGGCCTCAGAACATGAGCACTGCCTTTGGAAACAACAGCTTCGAAACACACAACTACTCAGAACAAGCCAGGACAAAGGAACATCTAATTCTGTTGACAAGGCTTCAGAGCTCTACTGATGCTCATAATAAACCAACTTATGCAAGTGAAGGGGCTGGTGGCTCCCTCTGGACATTTGCCCCTCCAATCCACTCTCCATTCTCCACCTGATTCTCTGCTATAGAGGGATGGCAGGGAGGGATACATCCTGTGGGTTACAGCAGGCTGGGCGTGTCTCTCCCTTCAGGCCTGGAATAGAACCACCTTACTACTTTTGGGATATAATGCATAACCCCTTAGGGTTCCTATATCCACTCTTCAAATATTCTTAACTTACTCAATTTGAGTATACTATTTCCTACCAAGACCCTAAAACAGCCATCAATAAGGCTTTCATTAAATACGCAGGTATTTATTAGGACCTTGAACCAACGGCCTTGACATTTTGTAAACATGGACGTAAAACCTGTCCTGACCCAGGCCACAGACCATTTGAAGGATCGTTGTTTGAAACCCAGGCCTGACATGCTTGGTCCCGTGTACACAGGGAGGCCCTCTGGAGCCCACGTCCAGGGAATGAAGGGCTCCTAGAAGACCTGTCTTCCTGGGGTTGCGGTCTGGTTAGTGGAACGTGGGGTCTGCACAGGCTTGGGTCTTAGGCCTGAGGACTGGCCATCCCAGGGGGACTTCCCCTCGGTAGGAGGGCTAAGGAGTCTCACATCTCGCCATCAGCTAGAAGGAGCAAGGCTGGGAGAAGGCAAAGTGACTAGAGACGGTCTTGGCACTCGCCTTCTAATAACTCAGAGCCAAATACTGGCAACACAGTTCCCAAGAGGGAATAATGACAGGAGGAATATGCCCATTGGCAAGGAGTTTTCTGACTGTGTAACTGGTAACTGTGTCTTTAGGTGTCTTTGGTCGTGAAATGTCTCAGGATGTCTGTTGAAGTGTCTGGAATGTTTGCCTGGCCTGGGAATGGCACTGGTCCTAGCTCCCTGGGAGCAATCAGGCCCGGGTGCATGCTGCGCTCTGCAGAGACCAACTCCAGCCCTTCCTGCTCGCCACCTGGGCCCTTCTGGCACTTCCTGCCCCTCTTGCTGAAGCTCCCAGTCACCATGCAGCACTGAGGTCCGGTCATCGCCCTTCCTAGATGAGGTGCACAAGCAGGGCAGAGCAGGCAGAGCCGAGCACCAGGCCTAGGCACACGTAAAAGGTCATCACCACCCCGGTGGCCTCAGCCAGCTCTCGGGGCACGATCTTGGGCCCGTAGATGAGAGCCAGAGTACTGAGGTAGCCGTTGCTGAGCCCCAGCAGTGAGGTGAAAAGCACTGGGTACATGTCAGACTGGAAGGCCACCGTGTGCAGGTGGACGCGGGGCTGGTAGTTGCAGAACACGAAAAGGGGGACAAGGCAGGTCCGGAGGAGCACGAGCCCAGGGAGCACCTTGCTTCTGGGCCCTGGCACCTGGATCCAGGCTGTGATCTGCCGGCCACACAGGTCGGCAAAGTTGTACAGGAGGAAGGTGGTGAGGGGGACGAAGAACTTGGTGCTCCACAGCGAGCCTGAGCCCTTGCTGAGGGATTCAATGTTAGTGCAGATGGCGGGGAAGATGAGGCTGCTGATGAAGAAGAGATAGACGATACAGAAGCCCAGGCCAGTGGTCTTCTTCAGGATGGGGCCAAGGGGTGGTGTCTGGGGGTCACTGGATCCTGGGGCCACCGAAGTGGGGTTGGGGGAGTCCTGGGGCAGCTGCTCTTCACCAGAAAACACGGTTGGCCACACAGGTTTCATGTAGTACCTGCAGGGGAGAAGCTGGTGGTCAGAGGGCCGAGAAAGAAGGGTCACTGGGGATTTCCAGGGACATGGTGGTCCAGCATGTAGAGCCCAAGCCCCAGGATGCCCTCGGATGACACATGTGCTGCGGGGTGGCTGGAGGGAGGCCTGCAGAGTCCCCAAGCTTCCTGCCCTGGTGCTGCCTGAAAGGCTGGGCTCCAGTCCATTGTTCTGTGGTGCTGGTCGTGTCATGAGCAGGGACAAAGGAAGCCAGTACTCACACTGCATGGTGAGCCTGGGCTCTGGTCTTCACTCACTTATTTTTGCTTGGTTTTAGGGTAGGGAGAGGTGGAGCTGAAGTAGTATTTATTTTTCAAGTATAAAATAGCTTAAAATCTTAAATTATAGAAGTCACACATGCTTGATGAAATGAACCAAAATAATAGAGTGAAGTTTCTTAAGCAAACTTTCTGCAATAGTATAAATGACATAATAGATATTATATAATTGCCTAAATAGGTGCATAACTATTACACATAAATGCATGCACACTGTTGTCTAAAAGAGTATCTTGTGTCCATCCTTTCACACAGGGACACATGGTTCTGCCTCTACGCTGTGTTGCCACTGAGTATTTCACTGTATGTATATATAATTTAACTGCTCCCCTAATGCTGGACATTTAGGTTAGCTCTAGTTTTCTCTACTATAAATGATAGCACAATGAATATCCCTATACATAAATCTTTGTGTAGAATTTCAGTAGAGCAGATTTCTAGAAGAATTGCTGGATCACAAGCAATTTTTAAAACTGCTTTAAAATCTTTAAAATTTTGATAGATATTGATAACCTGCTCTCCGGATAGGTAGAACCAATTTATCTCCGCTTTGTGCCACCTACCCACTCAAACTAATGTAACCTAACCCTTCAATCTCCACGAGAGCACCTGTTTCTTTAGAAAAAACTGACCACAATTTATACTCATTGTGTTGGTTTACAGGTTTATCATCTGTCTCCCTGAAGTGAAGACAGTTCCCTGGGGCAAGGACATGTATGGCTGTTCCCAGCTAAATCTCTAGGCAGAGAATAACCCTTCAAAACAAAACTGTTGAAAGAACTGATAAGCCTATAAAAGTATATTTTCCCCCATATTCTCAATACTGAACATGATCATTTTTTTCAATTTCTTCTACTCTGACCAGAGTAAAAAAGGCTAAGTTCTTTTTGCATTGCTGCATTGCCTGAGTCACTCAACCTCTCTGGTCCCTGGGTGCCTAAAAGCCAGGAGATACAGGCTGATTGTATTAACATGTGCTGTGCTGCACTTGGTTGCTCATTTGTGTCCAACTCTTTGTGACCCCATGGACTGTTGGGCGGCCAGGCTCTTCTGTCCATGGGGATTTTCCAGGCAAGATTACTGGAGTGGGTTGGCATGCCCTCCTCCAGGGGATCTTCCCAACCCAGGGGTCAAACCCAGGTCTCCTGCATTGCAGATGGAGACTCTACCATCTCAGTCACCAGGAAAGCCCCAATATGTATTAACATATCTTAAACAGAAACTTGGGTGAGGCTGGGGAGAACATAAGGTTGGTGATAGTTGGGTTCTGGTTTCAGCCCCACTTCTGCATCCCCGTGTGACCTTAGGCCAAGTCTGTGACTGAGGCCTCTTGGGGCCTCAGTTTCATCCTCTGTAAAATGGAGGGTTCTGTAGCTATAAGCTTCTGAGATCCTTGCCAGCCTTCCTATCCTAGCGGCTGAATATTGTCAATGAGCAAGTCAGTGGGCGGGTTCCTCTCCAGAATCACTTTTCCATGTGATGTTGAGCTGGGCACTTTGGCCTTGAACCCTGTCTTGTTTCCCAATCACTATTTAGGGAAAGGGTTATTCTTACTTCCCCTTCTACTCAGTGCCAAGTCCTTGCCTTAGTTGACTCTGAGGAAGCTCCCCATAAAGTTCCTCTGGTTGAAGCTCTTCCCCATAAGTTCTTCCAGATCTAACTGCCCCCGAGGTGGTCAGCAGACTCCAACACTGTGTGAGGCTCAGTTCCTCCTGAGTGTGATGGGGCAGTGTGGCCAGCCCCACTGGGTGCAGCAACCTGTAGCAACCTAGGGCTCCTTTCAAGTAAAATTTAGTCTGAGCAGCCCTGGGGTGTTGCTCTAAAGCTCCATCCTCAGATGAGTTTCTGTAAGCCCAAAAGTCTTGACCGAAGTGTTAATCAGCAAAGAAATAGAAGCTTCACGGGCTGGCAGAGTCCTGGGTATGCTGTCTCATGTGCTTAGCTGGAAGGCATTTTGGTGTGCTTAAGCGACTCTGAAAACTAGGGTGACCACCTGTCCTGTTTTGCCCGAGACTGTCCTGGTTTTAGCACTGAAAGTCCCTGGTCCTTGGGACCCCTTCAGCCCCAAGGCCAACAAAGAAGATTGGCCACTCCAGTGGAAACAGCACATGCAAGGTTCCATGAAACAGGACACAGGAAACAGCAGAAGGAGTTGGGGAGCCTCCTGCCTTCTGTTCACTGACTGAAATAACTTAATCAGCACCAACAAGGTGCCAGGAAGTATTAATGTATGGGGCGCTGGGTGACAGTAAGCCAGCCAGACCCCAGGCATCACAGGGACATCATCATGGAATACAACTGGGTAATTTTTTATGACAACCCTGAAGGGTCAGAGAGGGGAGGGGCAGACTCATGGATTTGAAGTCACCTATGGTACATGGTGTTATCACTCCATCCCCTTTTATCCTGAGGCCACTGGGCCAGCTGAAGTTGTAACAATCCTCTAACTGGGGGGAGCAACCTGTCCCTGGCAGAGCTGGGGTTCTGATGAAGGCAGGTGAGTCTCACAGGGACAGGAGGAATGAGTGGGGAGGAAGGACCTTGCAGTCACAAGCCAGGGATGCAGCATGAAGCAGTGGAAAGAATGCAGCCCAGAAACAGCTCCGGGTTCCAATCCCTGCCTACAACTCACCAGCTGAGCAACCTGGGGATGTTGGTTAATTCTCTAAAGCCTCAGTTCCTCATTGGTAACATGGGAAAATATGATAACAACTGCACTAAGTGGTCATGTAGCCTGAGTGAAAAAAATGAACTGCTTAGCTCAGCGCCCCAACACCAAATAGGCTCCTGTGGATCTGGCAGAGCCAGGACCTGCGTGTTCCCCAGCTCTGCTAGCTTGTGCACCATGGGACTAGAGGCCAGTCACCTGGCCTTCTCTGTCTCCATCTCATCACCTGTGAGATGGGGAAAATAACTCCTGCCATTCCGGTATCAAATACGACAATGGATGTGAAAATGCATTGAAAAGAATAAAAAGCAAGAAAATGTCATGGGTTGTTTTTTTAAAGAGAAGTATGAAGCAAGAAAGAAAAAGGAGGAAGGAGAGAGAGAAAGCAAGAGAGACTAAAGCAAGAAAAGTGGTTCTGCAGAGCAGAGAGGGGCCTCAAGAGACAGGGGCTAAAAACACAGTTTTGGAGTTGGGCTCAAATCCTGATTCTGCTGCCAAAGGACTGCAGGACTCAGGCAAGTAATTTAACCTCTTTGAGCCTGGTTTTCTCATGTGAGAGTGGGAATAACTGCGGTAAGTCACAGCCCTGCCCCAAGGAGGAGTAGATATATGAGCTTTAAATGTGAGGCCCCAGCAGGCTGGGCTGAGTGCAGAGAGGAACAATGCAAGGGCTCAGCCCAAGGAGTTACTGTTGGTTATCAGCCTTCCTCAGGTCCCACTTCTGCTGCCTGCCCTCTAATAGAAAACATGCAGACACCAGCTGCTTGGGGTTGTGATACAAAGCCGACTTCTTACGTCCAAGGGCCCAACCAATTTACTGAGCAACTACTGTGAGCTTGGCTCAGCCTGAGGCATAGGATATAGCAATGAACAAAACCCACATGATTTCTGCCCTCAGAGGGATGACACTTCAACAGGAAGATGTGCAATAAATCAGGAAACAAACACGAGCTCCAGCTAGAGGAGAGAAGAGTGCAGGCATACAGGATAAAGGTAGAAGGATGCCACACAGTATCATATGCTATTGCTTATTATGTGGAATCTAAGAAAAGGCGGCCAATGGACTTATCTACACAACTGAAATAGAGTTGCATATGCAGAAAATCACAGTTACTGAGGGGTAAGGTGAGGGGAAGGATAAACTGTGAGACTGACAAGTACAGACTACCATATAAAAAACAGATAACCAATATAGACCTACTGTACAGCACAGGGAACTCTACTCAATACCCTGTAATGGCTTATAAGGAGGTGAATCTAGAAGAGACTGACGTGCTGCCAGAGAGCACGTGTGGGCCTCACCTCGCATAGTCCAGCCGCGGCAGCAGCAGGTAGAGCCCGATGCAGAGCGCCAGGAAGATGTCCGCTGTTAGGAAGAAGGCCAGGGTGCTGTCTGTCACATCACTGGCCACCGCCAGGTCCACCAGTGAGGCCACGGCGCTGAGGGTGCCCCCCATGGCTCCTCCTGCAGAGAGCGCGGGACATCACAGAGAAGGTTAGAGTGGGTGCATCCTCCCTGCCTCTCAGGCCTGCCCGCTCTCTGCTCTGGCTTAACATTCTCCCTGGTGAGAGAGATGCTTCAGTTCTCACAGTACCCCGAGGCCTTGGCAGACAAGGAGGGCCCTGCAGCCATGAGCTTTCTGACTCTATGGAGGTGTCTCTAGCCCAGCTCCTCTGATGGGTGCGAAGAGGATGCTGTCTGAGGAGGCAAATGGCCTCCAAGGTCTCACCTGCTTCCTGGTTTCAGCTCTGACCCTCGACCCTCCTTCTCTCTTTACTGTCCTTCTGATGGGGTCAGAAACTTTAGGTTCTGGGATGGGACATGTCAGAGAGCTCCTCTCCTGCCCTGGGCCCAACCACCCATGAATCACCCTGGGGAAAAAGCTCTGTCCTGTCCAAGCACAGGTTCCCTGATGCCTTGAGTGAGGCTGGCCAATTGGGAGGCCTTAAGGGCTGGAAAACCAGCCAGGAGCCCACAGAGCTCACCCTGTGCCCTACAGTAGCTGTGTACCATACACATATGAACACATATACATACTCACCCACATATACACTGTCACATACACACATATACTCACAAACATACCCTATCACAAGATATCTCAAACACACACTCACACCCTATTACACACACTCACATATACTCCCACACGATGCTATCACATACTCATATGTGTGCAACTGCCCCACCGCCTGGAATGTGCTGTGCTGCCAAGGGCTTTGGCAGGTGGCCCAGGTGACCACGTGGCACCACACTTTCTGTGCCACGTCACAGAGGAGGCAGCACATCCTAGCCCAGGGGACCCACGGGTCCAGGAGTCAAACATATGTACATCTGACGCTTGACTCCACCACTTACTCGCTGTGACCTGGGGGCTCACAAGGCTTCTTGGGACCAGAGTCTGCTCATCTGTAAAGTGAGAACAATGACACCCGCCTTGCGTAGCTGCTTTAAGAGCTGAATGAGATGACGTTTAGAAAGGGCCCGGCACAAAGCAGGCTTTCTACAAATGCCAGTCCCCTTCTTTGCCACAATCACAGTCACTTCTGGGAAGCTGGGCATGCACCTTGTTTCTCTGTTGGGCCATCACAGCCGTGGGTGGCCACGAGTCAGAGCTTATACACGGTCACGTGTGAGCAGATCATTACTCCTCTTGGCCTGTTTATTTGCCAGGAAGAAGGGGCTCATACTTATCCTATCCCTCCCTTGAGACTATAGTGGGATGAAATCAATGAATGGGAAAAACACTGAACACATGGACATGTCCAACAGGATTAACACGGTCAGGGCCTGTGAATACAGGATTGCCTGGCTGCGTGGATGGATTTGCTGGCCTTAGAGGATCACAACATTGATTCTCAAGGAGGCAAGAAGGCCACTGACTGCAAAAGGCCAACTGGTCCAAGCGGGCACCAGCTGCGTTGTCGTTACTCGGCAGGCCTGACCAGATACCACCTTTCTGCCCACTGCTGTGTGGAGCCGTGGTGGGAAAGTGATGGTCAGCCCCTCATCCACCATGATGGCCATCCTCACTGCCTCACCCACACCACAGCCCACCACCTCTGTGGCTCTGCAGGGAAGACCCCACAACCCTTTTCTCCCTAACTTTCTCTGTGATCTCTACTAGCCTGCGTGGGGTCAGAGGTTGGAACCTGAAGGAAGGGCAAAGAAATGAAAGTTAGCATAGTGATTAAGAGCACAGACTCTAAAAATATCTCAGTCCAATCTTGGCTCTACCACTTCTAGCTGTGTGACCTTCAGCAAATCACTTAACCTCTCTATGCCTCCATTTTCTTGTCTGTAAAATGGGAATGTTAAAACTTACCTCTTAGGGCAGTTACAAAGATTGAAAAGATCATTGCATGTAAAGCGGGACAGTGTCTGGTGCTGAGAAATGCCATATAAATCCTTTCTGATCCCCAAATAGGTATTTGGCTGTTTCTGTCCTTCCTACATCAAAGCAGCAACAACAGGGTAAACCTTTTGCCAAAAGGGTGCCAACTTCTGAGAAGCTGTAATCCCCACCTGGGTGTTTTGTAAGAACCGGAGTTAAACTTGGTAAGACATTCCCCGGCTGCCCCGAGGAAGAGATTTTAACATCACTGCCTACTGACTTTCCTCTCTCTCTTCCCAACTTGTGGAGAATTTACAATATTATCATCAACAACAAACCAGGCCTCCGGGAGCTCATCCTTCTTGACTCCCCACTTTTATCTCATCAGTTATGGAAATACATGCAAATGAGGAGCTTAAAAAAAAACCAGTACAAAACAAATGAATTGTTCCTCAGATGCCAACACACAGTGAATTCACAGATGGACTCCTCTGGACAGAAGACAAGGGGGCTGGAGAGTGGTGCTGGGGCCGCTGGGAGAGCCGGACACCCCAAATCCCAGGTGAAGGGTGTGCACTGGGGGCTGCACACAGTGAAGACAAGGCTCAGGGCCCAGGGTAATGAACGCCCAAGTGCGAGTACCAGATTACTCCACTTTTTCAAAAATGGACTTCCTGCAAAATGCCCGAGAGTCACCTTCTCTGGAAGATCTGCAGGTGGTCAGATGAACCTGAAAGGCCTCTTGCCAACATATTGGTGTGTTTGGTCACTGGTTTCTGGAGAGATAGCCAGCAAGACTGTTATATTGAAAAATACATCCTCTAGGATGTATACATCCTCCCTCCTACGATAGAGGGAGATGAGGGGACAAGAAACCAGGGTGAAAAAAAAAAAAAGAAAGAAAGAAACCGGGGTGACATAAGGGATTAAATCCAAAGTTCAATGATCACTTCCCTCAGCCTAGGCAGGCCCTGCTTGAAGCACTACAAGGGATGTATTGATTGTACTCAGGAAACTTAGCAATGGGTCCATTTTTATTTTATTTCAGGCCCGAGAACATCTCTGAGGATATAGCCAGAAGCCCAATCTTATATCAAAAATGACAAACATATCTGAGCTCAAGTTTGATCTCTGATCTGTTGATAGTGTCTCCAGTGCTATGTTGAGAAGGATTTAGAAGTTTAGGAAAAGATACAGATCAATCAGTGATGTCTGGCCCTAGTGTGGGAATGGGGTGGAGTCATACACTTGTTGAGGTATTTGTCATCCCATACTACTCAGCATTATCAATTAATGGGCACAGACAGGATTCTTTGCAAAATTCTTCTCAAACATTTACAGCACTCCTTCACACAAGACAGACATGCAGGGACACTGAACAGAGCAGCTGAGCCCCTAGTCTTGCTTTAAGGGATGGTGGTCTCCTGGAAAGCACTGATTCTGACCCAGCTCCTTTTTATCTTGTCAAGACATTTGGGTGAGAGAACAGAACTACTAAGCTCTAGGCAACAGGCTCAGGTTAGCATCAACATTCAGTTAAAGGAGTTGGCCCAAATCACATGGGCACCCCCCAGAAAATGCCAAAGTTCAGGGAAACAGAGGAGTTTATTACTAGGCTCCCAGGAGGCTGAGTCTCATTCATTCTTGAATCCTTGGTGCACTGTAAGTTTTCTACAAAATTAGAGAGGAAGAAAAGACAAATAGAAGGGAGGAAAGGAGAGGAAAATGGGGAAAGGATAAGAGAAAGAAAAAGAAAAAAAAAGGAAAGGGGGAGAGGAGGGAAGGAAAGAAAGGAACACTGGTTCAGGAAATCCACTGGGCAGGCAGACTATATTTTCCAAAAGTAGCAGCAACTATGTCTCCCCTCACAACTGCCCTTCGACAGTATAACTTTCACACTCATCCACTGAGGTGTGAGGGTCTGTGATTTCTCCCCTTGAATCCAGGTAGGCTTATGGCTATAGTGGAAGTGTCCCTAAATGTCTTTATGGCTAAGTCATAAAAGGACATAGTGCTTCTGCCTGGGTCTCTTGGGATGCTTGCACTTGCAACCCAGATGCCACGCCCTGGGGAAGCTCAAGTGGCCATGGGTATGTCCATGTGGAGAGGAACCCTGTCCCCAGCCCCAACCCCACCTGAGCTTCCAGCTAACAGCCAGCATCAACATGCCGGCCAGGTGAGTGTGCCACCAGCCCCAGGCAAGCTATCCTGGCCGAGGCCACATGGCTGCCCCCTGCCAAAGAAATGATTCTTATTGTTCTAAGTCACTGAGCTTGGGGGCTTTGTTCTGTAATAACAGATCATGGAAACACATCTAACACTGATTTCTTTTTCTGGAAGGGATACCACATGCTCACCTCTGAGCAATGATCCCCTTCACCTCCTTCAAATGATCCCCAGGTAGACCAACCTGGTCAGCTGTCTGGACCCTAGTTCTCACCTGATATCAGAGCCTGGGAATTCCTCATGGGGAAGGAGCCAGTCATGCCGAAGACGCTGCTATTGAAGATGGTGGCAGTGCCGCTGAGGATCACCATGCAGACGATGGTGATGGTGAAGAAGCTGTGGGTCCAGGAGGAGGTGTCCACCTTCACCAGCACGGTCATCACCATGAAGACGGCCAGCATGACTGTCAGTGAGGCTAGCACGCGGACACGGATCGGAACCCTGAGGCAAAGATACCGGAAGTGGTTAGAGACACCCCGCCCCCAGGCCTCCCAAGCTGGGTGGGGGTTAGTGACCATTCTTAAGGAAAGCAGGTGTGCTCAGTGGCTGAGACCATGCACTCTGCACTCAGGAGGCCTGGGTCTGAATCCTGCCTTCCTGGCTCACAGGCTGTGTGGCCTTGGATAAGTGACTCTATCACACTGGATTCAGCCTCCACATCCTTAAAACAGAAAGAAGATCAATCTACCTGTAGGCACGGTGAGGGTCTCCGGAGAGGAGCACATAGAGAAAGGAGGCAGTGTCAGCCCGGGGCACATGCTCTTGGTTGCTGCTTCTTTTCATCTTGCTGTGATGCTCAAGGACAGGAGATGAGAGCTCGCGAGGCACAACCCCTACTCCTCCCACTGGCTTTGTCTAGTATTTGAACAGAACCACCATTCACTGGCTTCCTTCCCCCAAAACTTAGCAGTGGCAGAGGGAGGAGGGAGAAGGGAAGAGAATCATCACTGTCATCATCATCACGGCAGACACTGAGATAGTACTTCATTCGTGCCAGGTACTCTTCTAAGTGTTTTCTAAATGCTAATGTGTTGAATTCTTACATTAGTTCTACAAAATAGGTATTCTTACCTATTCCACAGACACAGATAAGGAAACTGAGGTCAGAGAGGCTAAGCAACTTGCTTAAGGTCACTCAGCTGTGAACCCAGGAGGTCTGCTCCCGTCGGTGCTCTCAGAATGCCACTTTACTGCCTCCCTTGACACAAAGGAACTATGGGTGGTCCAGAACAGGTGGTGAGGACAGAAGGAGGCTCCTGTGATGGTCTCAGCTATCATGGGAAGCAGCTGAGGCCAAGCAAGAGCCAGTTCCCACTAACTCTATTTCTGCATCTAGGCTGTACACTCCTCCCAGCCCCCAATCTGCCCAGACATCACCCTGCAGGGAGAAGCAGGGAAGCTGGGATCTCTGAGAAACTGCATTTTTATTCAGAGAGAGAACATCATCTGAAGAGGCTGTTTAAATCATCAGATTACACTAAGCTTTAAACCAGATTGGATGTTTAGTTAATTTTCCCGCTAACCAGTTGGGAGGGGGCGAGCGAAAACCCAGATTAGTTATACACAAATTTCTTTTGGATAAAAATAAGAAAGACATGAAAGGTAGGAAAGATCTGTACATATGTAAATAGGTATGAAATGATGAGCATAAAAAGCAAGAAAGGATTTTTTCAAAGTGCTTTTGTGGCCCCAAGGCTAATCTGAGCTTCCTTCCGATCCTCGATCTCCAGCTGAAGGGAGACCAGGTGCTGCATCCGCTGGGTCAGGGGCAGAAGGAAGCCTGAGGAAGTGAAGGGAGAGCTCAAGGTTGTGGTGTGAGGAGCCGGGGTGAGACCCAGGTGTGCTGAACCCCAGCCCCTGGCTCTCTGCAGAGACGCATCCACTCTGGTGTGTTCATTCCACACACAGGCCAACCACAGTGTGTCCAACCCTGGGCTGAAGGCCCAGGACACAGGGCAGATGAGGGACGGGCACTTTGTTCCAGCATAAAGTGTTCCATTGGCAGGGCCATGGGGCTTCCTGGGGACTTCTGAGGGGCACAGGACCCACCCTGGGCTTCTCACAGGCTTTTTGGAGGCGATCCCTAAGCTTGAGTGTAAGGTATGTCTGGATGGGATTGCATGTTATCTTCTGAGACAGAGTGTGGAACATTCAGGGAATTGAAGTGAACTCTGGCTGCAGGTGACACTGGGAGCAGAGGACGCTGAACAGACACAGGGACCCCTCCGTAGAGGGCCTTGTCCCATGGATAAGTGCCAAGACCTGATCTCAGGGTGGAGCAGAGTGGACGTGCAGGCTTTGTCTGCCAGCATCCCTCCCACCAGAAGCACTCCTTCCATGCCAAGTTGTCCTGCAGAGGTGGCCACTCATGGTGTCTACACCAACCCATTTACAAATGAGTGCACACAGGCCAGTCTGGGGTGATCAGTGTTCCATACTTCCAGCCACTGGATTGGGTTAGGTGTTAGCATGTGACCAAGGCAGGGCCAGTGAGTGAATCCTGGGATTCAAAGGTGGAGAGAAGCTGACTGTCTGCCAAGACTGAGTTGGGGGCTGCTGGTCACTATCTGGCCAGCTGCGTGGAGAGAGGCCCCATTTGAGATGAAGCCAAGCAGACACACACAGAGCCCAAGGTTGGTGGATGAGGACATCAGTGCTCTCCTAGATCCAGCAACGGAGGCAGGCCTGACTTTAATTTTCCAGGGAAAGAATGAGAAAATCCTTTTTGTGTCTCTTCCGTTTGTCACCAAGAGTACCAACTGGGACTCGTTGCGACCCCATGGACTGCAGCACGCCAGGCTTCCCTGTCCATCACCAACTCTCTGAGCTTGCTCAAACTCATGTCCATTGAGTCGGTAATGCCATCCAACCACTTCATCCTCTGTCATCCCCTTCTCCTCCTGCCTTCAATATTTCCCAGCATTAGGGCTTTTTCCAGTGAGTCAGTTCTTCGCATCAGGTGGCCAAAGTACTAGAGTTTTAGCTTCAGCATCAGTCCTTCCAATGAATATTGAGTACTGATTTCTTTTAGAATGGACTGGTTTGATCTCCTTGCTGACCACGGGACTCTCAAGAGTCTTCTCCAAAACCACAGTTCAAAAGCATCAATTCTTTGGTGCTCAGCTTTCTTTATAGTCCAACTTTCACATCCATACATGACCAGTGGAAAAGTCATAGCTTTGACTAGACGGACCTTTGTTGGCAAAGTAATGTCTCTGCTTTTTAATATGCTGTCTAGGTTTTTAACACCTCCCAAGAGCTGCCTTCAACCAATGATGGGAAAGTAGGTGGATAAATCCCCCGCCCCCGCTCCCTCTCACCTCGAGTGTGTACTCCACACTGGCTGCCAGCATTCTGGGGCAGGTCAAGCTCGGTCACTTGCAGTGGGAACTGGCTTGACAAGGCATCCTTTACTGGCTGCCACACCTTCCTGGTCTCCCCCTTTCTCCTACCAAGCAAACCTGCACTTGAATCCTTGTTCTAAGGTCTGTTTCTGAGAAACTCCTTAGACACATCTTCCTAGCATCTGCAGAGCCCTCGACCTGGGCAGGAGTTGGTGGGCAATCAGGTGAGCATCTGGACTCCAGGGGGCCCAGAAAGTCCATTTTAAATGCACACTAGGTACCCTGAAGACTGGGAGTCAGGCCTTACTCCTGATGCTCGAGGTGATGCTACACATGTAGCCCCTGTCACACGATGTCCCCCACATTATCCCAGCAGTGGGAGCTTCCCTGCACACTCAAAGATAAGAGCCACAGGGGCACAGAGCTTGAGTCCAGAGACGGGAGCCCTGCCAACTCTGCCACCAGTTCACAGTGTGACCCCAGGCAAACATTCAACCTCATGGGGCCTCAGTCTCCTCATCCTGAAAAAGAAGAGGTGGGACAAGATAACATTCGTGTCTCTTCCAGTTTTCTTCTAAATCTGAAAAAATTCAAGTGGAGAGAGACTAAAGACAAAAGCCCAAAAGTTTAGCAGTTCCCTGGGGGCAAGAAGCAGGCACAGCAGAAGCAGGAAGCCCCATAGGGACAGGACCCTGCCTTGTTCTCACCGGTGGGGCTGGCACAGGGCCTGGCAGGCACTTGTAAACACCCGCTGGACCCACAGATTGACTAGCAAGGAGCCTAGCAGTGCACGCTGGGCCTCAAGCTCCCTTTCAGTCCCTGCTTCTTGACACACTCAGTGTGGCAGGGAGACAGCTGGAAACATCAGCAGCAACCTCAGCCAGGCTTGGGAACGGCCTTGGCCTCTCACCACCTCCTCGTAGGAGCAACACAGAAAAAGTCCACCCCAGGAATGCTGCGGGCATCTCGGAAACTTCCTTGCGTCTTCACAACAAGGTAGATAATTGCTTGAACAGGACAGTGGCTTTGGAGACAGCTGGGGGACTTCTTACCCAGGCACCCCCAGGGTGGGGAGGAGGGGGGCGGGGGCGGAGGTGCAGAGTGGGAGGTGAGGAGGTAAATACTAAGTGCATAACAAAAGCAACGCAGCTCCCAACTCTCCCTATGCATCCTGCCCCTCACCTGCACAGGTCTCCTCCTTCTAATTATCAGCTGCAGGACCCTTCTCAGCAGGAACATCCCTGCAGGGGCTCCAAGCCCGCAGGGATCTTGCCCAGGGCTGTTTTCAATGTCAGGAAAGCTTTATGAAACGTGCCCTGTGCAAGCCCACCCCACATCCACGAACAGGGGCATGCTGCCTTACTCTCTGCTCCTTCCACCTGGAAGGTGGCCCAGGGGCTGGGGACACCATGGGGGTGTGAGGGAATGTCTAGACGAGTGCAGCCTGGCATTGGTGGCTCTGCTCTGGGACAGGGGATGTCTGAGGTGAGAGCTCCAGTCCCAGGACTGTGTGGCAGGCCACACTGATGTGACGTTCTTGGAGCGGATCACCAGCTGTACCCAGGCTGCCAGCACCACCCCCTCCCCTTGCTCATGAGGGTTCAGGACCCCAGGGGACTGATTTCTTCATAAGTCTCCAAAATGTAAATCCTCCTCATAAGTATTTATGATGTTACAGATTTTACATAATAAAACACTTGGCGATTATGGATGAGCCAGTTAAAGAAAGCCAGGGTTCTCCAGGAGGGAAGAAAAGGGGACATTTCAATCTTACACATTAAATAAAAAACAGCTTAGCTCCAAACCATCTTCCAACAGTCCAGAAACAGACAGAGGCTGGAGTGTTCCCCACAGTGCTCTCACCCACTCCTGCAGCTGGGAAAGGGCACCTTGAGGTGAACCAGACCCTTCTGGAGGATGCCCTGTAATGCTGAGCTCCCAGAGGCAGCTCCCAGCCATCCTCAGGAGGGCAGCTACCTGGATGGCCCACAGTCCCCACTGCAGACAGATTCAGACCTTCTTCACCACTTCTTTCCCTCCAGCAACTCGAAGCCAGGGCAGAATGGGCTCTCACGGTCTGAGATGTGTCTCTAGGTGCGGGGGCGGGGGGCGGGGGCGGGTGCGGCGCAAAGCTAGAGAGCTAGGAGACAGAAGGCTCAGAGGTTCCAAGTCCAGATGTGGGGGAAGGGTCCCAGCTCCAGCCCTGCCTCTACCTCTTAATGGTTGCATGATCTTGGGCAGGTAACCTCTGTCAGCCTGTTTTCCCATCAATAAAACAGGGGAATAAGTCTGCTGCTCTAGGCCACTGCCAGGATTAAAGGAGAGAATGATGCCAAGGACTGAGTGCTCAGACTGCTAACTGTGAGGATTAGAGATGATTTGCCCTGGGCCCTGAGGCCAAACCTGCCCTGCCACTGCTGACCCCAGGTCCTGGCTGGCTGCTGCCTGCTGGGCCTCATGATCTCAGAGGGGGCAGTGCTGGGTAAGATGTCAGCTCAGGCTACCCCTTCCTGGCCCTGTGGGCCTGGGCACACATCTGCTGGCTTCCACTTTGCACAGAGGATAATGAGAGGGGCCTGGAAAGGGGAGAGGGCAGTGAGAGGTCAAGGGACTACCCACTGCCATGGCTCGGTCACCTCTTCCTTATCCACACCCTTCCTTTCCTCATGCCTTCTCTTCTGAGTCACTGCCAGGAACCCAGCTCTCCCCTTAGGGTCCCCGCTCAGCCCTATTCCTAGCTCCATTCCCCACCTCCTCCTTGGGACGGTCCCTGGAGGCTATGCTCTCCCTGCTGGGACACTGATCATAGCCCTGTGTGCTGGGCAGGTGCAAGGAGGCAGGTGTGTGTGTGTGGGGAGTGCAGCTGGCATTCAGCCCGTAGGTTGCCTGAGACCATCCTCCCTCTCACTTGTCCAGCCTGCACTTTGGTTTTAAGAGGCGTGCAAATTCACTGACATTCCTTCCATTGAAAGATGGAGTCTCCATCCCCTTGAAACTGAGTGAGCTTGGTGACTGCCTTGGCAGAAAGGACAGTATGTCACTGCAGAGAGTAGGGTACCAAAACCAAGCAGCTTCTGCCTTGCTCTCCAGGAGCAGCTGCTCTTCAGTTACAGTATGAAAAGCCCTACTACCTGAAGCCAACCTACAAGAGACCAAGGGGAGGGACAGAGAAAGAGCTGTCCCGCATGAGAGACGGCCAGCCAGAGCTGCCAGCTGAGCCTGTGGACTCCCAGGACCACGAGAGACACCAATTACTGTCAGTGTTTTTAGCCTCTCTGTTTGGGGATAATTTTTATGCAATAGATCATTGGAATAACCTCATAACATGTTTGGAAAGACTGGCCTGTTAAGGCTTAGCACACCTGGGGCACCTGTGCTGCCCTCTCTCCTCATGGACTCAGAACAGACATCACTAATCAGTCACAGCACACTCCCTGAGGCCAAACCTGCTTTAGAATCCTGTTCGAGCAGAGATCCAAGGAGTCACCACAAACTGAGCAGAGTTGGGTAAAACAAGTTTGCCACCAGGGACCAAAGGTTTCAGTAGGCTGTGCCCGAGAGATGCCCAGGTTTCTGAAGCATAACATAGCCACCGTTATCAGACAATGATAGCTTAGGAGAAATGGGGGCAAAGTCACTCAGGCGGTTACCCCTGTAAACCTAAATGGAGAAGGGATAGCACCAGTCACACAGTGGGTTTGAAGGGTTGTCTCCTAAACCATTCTTTCTTCCACAGTGCATCCCGCCCTTCACGAATGCAGTGTCAGAGGTCACCCAGTAATGCCCTTGTGAGTGCTTGACTCATGAGCTGCTGTTACCAGCTTGGCACTGAACATAGGTGACCCTTTTCCATATAGTAAGAGCCGGGGTGGTGAGGTGACAGGCTAACTTCCAGCTTTTTTTTTTTTTTTTTGGCCACTCCATGAGGCATGTAGGATCTCAGTTCCCCAGACCAGGGATGGAACCTGTGCCCCCTGCTGTGGAACTGTGGAGTCCCAACTACTGGACTGCCAGGGAAGTTCCCAGGCTCCTAACTTCCTGCTGCTCTCAGAAAGGCTGGGAAGGCCAGCCTCCACAAGCCTTGCTCCTGGGGCCCCACCCACCATCCACGGTGTCCCTGCCGCCCAGGCAGCTGACCCCACTGCCCCAGCACTGGGCATTCTGCGGCAGGGCCCCGGGTAACCGATCTGACTCTCAGTCTTTGCGGAGGAGTCTGAACGGCTTGACTCCTACTTTGGCGGCCACAGTTCAGGCAGCTGTGGACCAAGGGAGAGTGGATAAGCTGGAGGAGAAGGTCAGGGGGCCTGCGAGAGGGAGGAAAGTGGCCTACCTGTTGACAAGCAGGAAGTTCAGGACGAGGCACAGCACAGAAGGCACAGTGGAGGCGATGGCCAGGTAGCTCTCAAAGTAGTTCTGCAAGCAGAGAAGATGGGGGTCGCTGAGGTCACTTGGGATGCAGGGGAGGGCCCTACCTGAGAGCAGGGTTGGGGATCCTCTTGGTGGTGCTTCTCCCCATAATCTTCAGACACCTACGAGTGATGGCTAAGTCCACCCTGAGACGCCATGGTCTCTTCCATCTCTAACCTAAGACCACTTACTCGGTCACTTGACACCAGCTTGAGCTATGCTAAGTGCTGGGGACATAAGGAAGGGTAGGACATCCCCGCCCTAATGTTCTGCAGTCCATGCTCCCACCCATCCCACCTGTTCTCACACCCCATGGATGAGGCGATGAAGACAGGACTCGACGTATGTTTACAAAAAAAAAAATAAACAATTCTGTCCTGTCAGTCATCTTTGCCCCTTGTCAAATTTTGAAGTTATCCAAGTGGGTTAGTTATGATTCATTCACAGTCTCATGTTCTTGCAACCAAGTGAGTACTCTTAGCAATACACAGGGCCCTGATCCCTGCAGAGAAACTCTGTTCTGACTGTGGATTTGCTTCTTCAACAGAGCTGTAACCCAAGATCAGAGTCATTTTGGGAAGTGGCTTCTAAACTGGCCAGGATGAGCAAAAGGGGAATTTTCCTGGAAGGAGCTCAACAGTAGTACAAAGAGTGCATGAGATCACAGACAGGATGAAGAATTTCTGAGTATGATGTGCTGGAACTTACAACTGAAGAAGCTAAGTAGCAACTGTATGCATTTTTCGAAACTCAGTGGGCTGTCCACTCATTAGGGTGGCTTTAACTGAGTATACCTTGTCCTTCAATATACCCGTCGAACAAAAAACCAAAACATGGAATGGGATGATATATCTTGGCTTTGGTGCTTGTATGTCAAATTGTGAACCCCAGATCAGTAATGATGGGTTCTATCAACTACAAATTGGCACTTGCCATCTACCTCTATAAAAATCAAATCATGTGCTGCTGCAGCTGCTGATTTTCAACACCCCCTGAAAAGAGTTCAGGGTAGAGAGCAAAAATGAGGAACTCTGTGCTCAAGGGACTGGCAGAACGGGTTTTATAAGCCCAATTCTTGTATCATCTCATATGTAGAAAAGCACTAAAATCCTTCACAGTGATGACTGCTCCTCGTGACTAGCAGAAATCTACAAAAAATATGTTGATTGCATGTACTCTCCCTTTTGGGCTTCCCTGGTGGCTCAGAGGTTAAAGCATCTGCCTGCAATGCAGGAGACCTGGGTTCGATCCCTGGGTTGGGAAGATCCCCTGGAGAAGGAAATGGCAACCCACTCCAGTATTCTTGCCTGGAGAGTCCCATGGACAGAGGAGCCTGGTAGGCTACAGTCCATGGGGTCGCAAAGAGTCGGACATGACTGAGCGACTTCACTCACTCTCCCTTTACCAAAATCACATGTGTACTAACCTTCCCCCCTGCCTCTTTGGAACAGTTCCTCAGAGCTATCTGAGGTGCTGTCTCCTGAACAATAGTCCTCATTTTGCCCCCAAATAAAATTTAACTTGCAACTCTCATGCTGTGCATTTTTTAAGCTGACAGTTCTAAGCCATGAAAACAGCTTACATGCATGAAGCATACTGTGTGCAAGTACAAGGGCTTTATACAAGTGATACTCTTTACCCAAAAAAATTAAAAAGCTGTGAGTACTCTGGAAAGCTTACAACATTGAACTTAACTGGGGAAATATTTTGAGTACAAATGTGCCAAGTGCAAAGAACAATGTGTGCAAAAATCTTGCCAATGCACAAAGAGCCCCAGTAATAGGGATCTCTACAGAATTTAAGACACGCTTCTTCCCTGTTAAGAACAGGGTGTCCCATGGAGAGTATGAGATTGAGTGTGAGGTTTTTTTTAATGTCTCAAAACACCATAGGAAGAGCTGTCAGAATTCTGTGGGTTTTTTTGTTATTGCTGTCATTGTCAAATCTGTGGTAGGGGCAATGCGTTCAAAGGAAGTTTCAGGTAGCAGAGTGGGACGAGGGGCCTGAGTCCTGGAGAGAACAGGAATGAGTAAGGGTCTGGGGAAGAGATCCCAGAGGGGGTAGGATTTGTGTCAGATCTTAAAACGGAGGGGGAGCTCTTTCCTTTCTGGGAGATTCTGGTTGCAATGTGGAGACCAAGAAAGAAAGATGTCATAATGGGCCCCTTGTAGTCTGAAGCACAGACCGTTTCCATGGTCCCTTTTTAAGCCTGCAGAGTTCTTTGTGGTCTTTGAAATTTGCACCCTGAATATAAGGTGGTGGTGGCCTTGCAATTAAAATGATAATCACAGCTAGTGCGGTCCATCAACCATGAGCCTCAGAAATAACCTTCCTCCTTTGAGGAGCTACCTCATTGTTCCTGCCCTGATGGGCTCAGTAGAGCCTGGACTGGTTTGAGGCACTCAGTCAATTACGTCTTGACACAGTGGCTGGGCATACGTGAGGCTAGTCAGGCGCTGGGCGGGCAGAAGCAATGGAAAAAGGCCCCAAGGAAAAGATGGCTGCAGGTTGGGACCAGGATGGCCCCAAATCTGAGCTCCAGATGACAGCTTTCTGTCAGCGGCTGTTCATTCTGTGACAAGTCTATGAATGGCCATCACGGGGGATGCAGAAGCTCTGTCTGTTTTTTCAAGCAGGCTCAGGTTCCCTGAACATTTTAGGAATGGGGATTTTCTAGGTTATTGTTCTGGCTTGTTGATATTTAAGCAGAAAAAGTTCCTTTTAGTGTTGGAAAGCTTTTAAAATACTGACAAGTGGATAAGGCTAGGACTCCCTTTCTGTTGATTGAGCCCATTTCTTTGCCTTACAAAGAGCATGTGGGCAGGGGTGGGGAGTAGGCAATGAGGCAGGGGAAGAATGGACTTGACCATGTGCCATCTTTCTACTGGATCAGATCAGGAAGCTGTGGTTGGTGATATAAGTGGACTCAGCACATCCCAAAGAGCTTTGTTTTTTTCTTTTTTTCCACACTTAATTCCTGATATAAACATTAAGTGGTTTTTACTTTATTATTTGTTGCTTTTGCCTCTGAGTAGAGTTCTAATAAAATGAGGTGTGGTGGGCAGGTTCTTAGGATGTCCCCGATGATCTCAGCCTCCTGTGTTCATGCCCTTGAATGTTCCCCTCTTCTGAGTGTGGCTGGGACCTGCCTGGACTTGCTTCTAACCAAGAGGACATGCCAAAGGTGAAGGGTATACGTGAGTATGTGGATGGGATTATGTCACACGAGATGGTGGCACCCACCTTGCTGGACTCTTTTATTCCTCCTGTGATGGCTTGGAGGAAGCCGGTGGCCAGGCTGAGGAATCCCATGTGGCAAAGACTGCAGGTGACCCCTAGTTGCTGACAGTAGTTTCTGACCAACACCCAGCAAGAAACTGAAGCTCTCAATCCAGCAACTGCAAGGAACTGAGTTCTGCTAACAACCCAAGTAAGCTGGAACTGATCCTTCTCCAGTCGAGTCTCCAGTAAGACTGCAGCCCTGACTAGCCCCTTACTGCAGCCATGTGAGACCCTGTGGAGGACTGGGATAGGTTATGCCCAGACCCCTGGTCTACAGATACTGTGAGATAACAAACATGTGCTGTCGTAAGCCACTAAGTTTGTAGTATTTTGTTCCATAGCAATAGATTCCTAATTAGTAAGGGTGTGAGATAGCCAAGTTCCTAGTAACTGGGGTTTTTCTGAATGCAGGAGCCTTCCTAGAACAATTTAAATTCAGTTCCTGATGAAAGCAGAGAGAGCTGACCATGATTTCATTCAACTTCTTGCCAGACATGAGGACCGATATGCCCGCCCATGAAGGGAACAAAGGTTATGCTGGTTGACCACATTAGTCCCCCAAGCCTTTCCTCTCCAAATCCTTTGCTGAAATTAGGATCATTTTTGCAAGCAGCATGCACTGATTTCAAGAAACTGGACTTGGCTTATGCGCCACCCCAGGTCTGCTCATCTTACCTCCCCCTCAGGCCATTTGCTTTTCTGTTTGGTCCCACAGAGTCATGAAGCCACGGCCACTGCTGCCACCAGCAGGGGAGCCAGCTGCCAGGGAGAGACCCCTGCACCTGTGCACTGCCCAGGCTGCCCCTGCAGAGGCTCTTGCTCCCTGGGTGGCTGTGGGAGGGGCCGGGGGACCCTCTCAGGAGGGTGGAGGAAGCCCCACCCACAAGGTAGGTTTCAACCAATGAGAGGCGGGAGACGGGAAGGAGACTAGAGACACAGTGCTTGCCTTTCCTCCTCCGGCCTAACATCTGTTCCGAAATGTGGTGGCTCCACGTGGCTCCTCAGGAGACACCCCATGTGCCTGAGCAAGCAGCTGTGTTTTAGTCGCAAAGCTGTGGTCAGTGCAGTGATACCACAGCCTGTATCTGCTCCCCTCCATCCCTGCCTCACTTCCCTTTTCCTCACTCTTACTTCCCTAGGACAGCACTCCCCAACAGAGTATGGCACATAAGATGCTGCCTCAGGCTCCTTTCTAAGGAACAGCCAACAGCGAAGGCCCTGTGTTCAATTCTCGACTCTACACACTGCAGACTTGCAGCTGGTGCTCCCTTTCTGGGTTCGTCTCATTTGTTCCCAAGGCCTGTTGAGGTTACCTTCTTCCATTTTACTCAAGTAAATGTGAAGACAGCTGAATACTGGTTCAAACACACTGCAGTCAGAATGGTAACAGCATTGCCCCCTCCAAATCAATCTGAAATCTCCATTCTATAGGGTGATTTTTGAGTAATGCAATGCTTGGAGATAATTTGTGTCATATAGTTCACCTCCACTTGGGACCGATTCCTGAGAGCTCCCTCAAAAGGCTCTGTTGTTATTTGCCCCACCAGGTGCCTGGCAACAAGGTTGCAGCCTCCACCTCCAGAGATGAGCCCAAAGGCCCCAAGGACTCTGGCGACAGAGGAGTGGGGCAAGGAGAAGACCACCCCTCCAGGGCCATGGCACTGGGCCCCCTCCTATGGCAGTGGTGGCTGTGCGCTGCACAACCCCAGGGGGCCACAGTCGTG